TTTCCAGCTTTAGCAAGTGTAAACCTCTCCTTAGGTGTAAAACTCCATTACAAGCTTGGATTTGGCATTCTAAGCCTTTAGAGTCTTGTATGCACGTAAAGTTTGCAACTTTACGTGATAAACATGCCTTGGGAAGCTTGATCTGTAATCTAGAACCTTAAAATGGCTTAAAAAGCATCTGTATAGATAAAGGAATGGAGGGACTCGACGAGTTGCATGGTCAACTCGGCGAGTCCGATAAAGATTGTCGTGCAAGGACTTTTGCATGGACTCGATGAGTCAGTGGGGTGACTCGTCGAGTCAACTAGGGTTTTCCCGATACTTAGACACGCATGAACTCGGCGAGTTGCAGGGAAACTCGACGAGTCAGTGAGGGGATTTCACGACTACTCGAGTTCAAGAAGGACTCGATGAGTCAGTGACTACACTTGGCGAGTCGGGTCAACGTGGACTGTTGACCTTGACCTTTGACTTTGACCAAGGGTTGACTAATTGACTTCTGGGGCATTTTGGGAAATTGGAAATTTACGAGTATGGTTCTATGCTAAATATAAGTGGTGGAGTTTGTGGCGGTGATCCGAGAGTTTGAGCTTATCTTTCGAGACGAAAATTGAGAGGTGAGTTATCCTCACTATACTCAAGGGTCTAAGGCACCAAGGCCGACCCTTTGGATGGTTATCTAGATATGTTATGCTAGTATGATCTGTTAGATTGGCATCCTGGTAGATAGGATGGTATTGTGTGTTATGTGATATGATCTGTTAGATCAGTTTGCTTGTCTATAGACTGTTATGTGATTATCTGGTATATGTGCACATGTTTGTTTGGCGGTTGAGGCTTACTTGCTTTGTGCAGAAGACAATAGACCTGGGCATTCCAACCTGTTGGTTGTAGGCCGTGAGTATTCCATCCTGAGGATGATTGGACTCATAGTGTGTGGGCATTCCAACCTGTTGGTTGTGGGCCTGGGGTATTCCATCCCGAGGATGATTGGACCCATAGTATGTTGGCATTCCAACCGGATGGTTGAGGGCCTGGGGTATTCCAACCCGATGGTTGACTGTACCCATAGTATGTTGTTTATGATTATATGTGTATCGTTGTGGGTATGGGTATTTTGGGGGAACTCGCTAAGCTTTCGGACTTACAGTTTCAGTTTATTGTTTTAGGTACATCAGGGGATCGCGAGAAGGTGAAGACGTGATCGTACAGCTCCTCATGTTTTGTTTATGTTTCTGGGAAACTCTGATATTAAACATTTTGAAAACAAGCTGTAATGATTTAATGGTTTTGAAATGTTTTAAAAAGTTCAAATTGGCATGATTTTTATGGGTGTTATATTTTGTTTCGGAAACTCAACCTTCACCACCACCTCGACCTAAAAAGAAAAAAGGAAAAAAACCGGCCCGACCCAACACCACCCAAGAAAGGGTCCCATGGACAAAATACGAAGAAGAAAAGTTATCCGAGGCATGGATTTCGGCTTCCCAAGACCCGATCGAAGTCGATCGTCAAACGTTCGGTTGTTTTTTAGAGAAAGTCTGCGCTGCGTTTTATGAGTTAATGGGTAGTGAAAGTCGAAATTCCGATCAAATTAGCTCGAAGTGGTGCGATATTCGACTAAAATGCATTGAATTTGGAGGAATTTACAACAATCTCCTAAAACATACGAAAAAGCGGGTCAAACAATTTTGATGTCTTCAAGACGGCTTTGGACCAATTTGAAAAAATAACGCCAACCCGCAAAGCTTTTCTGTATGAAACCTAGGCTAAAGTTGAAAAATGCTTCAAAATGGAAAGAGCAAACAAAAGGAAGTTCGCAATATTCCGGTTCAAAGCGTTCAAGAAACCCTGATGCAACTTCCCAACAATCGGACGGGCGAACACATTTCGACATCCGATCTTGTAGACGAGCAACCTCTTCATCGGCCCGTTGGAAGAAATAAAGCAAAAAAAGCGGCTTCGGGATCTAGTGTTATGGATCAATTTGGAGAGAAATTTGATCGCTATGTGTACGTTCAAGAAACGAAGGCAGAGATGTTGAGTCGGGTAGAACAAAAAATGATAGAAACACAATCGGTGATTCAAACAAAAACCGATATGTAAATCTTGAAAATGAAAACGGACGACCTCGAAGGCGAAGATTTGGAGCTATTTCTCGCGATAAAGAAGTCCGTTCGAGTCCGACGTAGGAATAGGGGATAATTTTTTAGTTAAGCTTGGTAATTTTAGGTTTTTTATTTTTAATGTTTTTTTATTATTTATTATTTTTTTATTTTAATTAATGCAATTTTTATTTTTAATGCAATTTTTATTTTTTTTTAGTTTTAATTAATGTGATTTTGTATTTTAAATTAATGAAAACTAATATTTAAAAAAAATTATATGATTTTTATGTATTTTTGATTTAAATTTAATTAAAAAATGAGATGGAGTGATTTGTTTAGTGGTATGTATCCTATGATTAATGGTAAGTATGGTGGTGATAATGTGCCACCCACAGCTATAATAGTTAGTGATCGGTAGAACGGATAACCTTAGAGTTGGTCTAAGTGTCTATCAATTTCGATCAAAGATGTTTTAATCGGTCGCGGTGAAAATTTTGCATTGTACAACTAGCCAATCCCCAAAAGTAACCAATCAGTGACATGTTGGGTTCATTTTTTTTTCTTTTCTAAAAATTACTTAAAATATACTTTTAAGCATGTTTTTTACTCTAATCAAATAAATATTTATAAACGTATATTTCAATCAATAAATATTTATAGAAAATTTATTGGTATCCGGACCTGGCCTCGAAACAAATTTGTGTAAACGGTTAAGCATAACCAGTACTTAGATGGATTTTCTACAAAATATACCAAATCACAAATTAGTATTCAACTCTGGTTGGGAAGGACTGAACTTGACAACATCTGATCATGCTTCGCTAATGGCTTGCACTATTCCAAACAGAAATTGGATATTTGGATTCGGCATGGTTGCAGATGTAACATAAGTAGAAATATGATCATAAAGTATTAAAATTATAATTCATAGTGGATTTAAAATATACATATGTATATGTAGTAGGACTAATTTTTTAAATTTCGTTATAAAATATAACTTTATGTGTCAACTATAATCTATAAATAATCTATAAATAAATAATATAATAAGCAACGTGTCATATCAAATGATTTATATTTATTTTGTCAAAGAGATATCCCTCTCAAAGTGACTATTTGCTTTCCATTTATATCACTCACCACATTGCTGAACAAATCTAATAATTTTTATGGGAACGTATAGGCCCAATAATGTTTTTAGGGTTTACCTATTTAGCCACTTAACTTATTTTGTGGTTTAATAAGGGAACGAAGTATTTGTTACCTATCAATATAATCCATTTTACCTATTGTAGCTGGTATACGTTGCCACATAAACCTAGCCTAACACGTAAGTGATGACATGACAAGAATTTAAAGCGTCGAACTACCGCAACGACGTAGTATTGAAGGCGAATCGTCAGGAGCAAGGATCGACTGTTGAAGCGTCTCCATATAAAATCAAGACTTTCTTGACCTAAAATGACACATCTGCAAACTTCATTACCCCAATCTTATCTCTAAGTTTACTCCAAAATGCCTTCGATCGCACATGCAGAACACAGTTGGTCTCCAAACTACCGTCGTCACATGGATGGGAATCATTCGAATGGTGTAACCAACGAAGACATGGCCATCAATCTACTGCAAACCCAGCTGGAACTGTCTCTTATACGGGAGGACTTCCAAGACCAGTTGCGTGAGCTCCGTCAGGCAGTTAATCGACACTTGGATGCCATGAACCTTGAGGTCGATGACGTTCGCGCTGGTCAGTTGGATATCTCAAATATGGTTGCTGATCTTAAAAATCAATTAGTTTCTCTACAAGGAGCATATGTGAAGATGGTCTTCCAGCACAACAAACGTAAGAAGTTGAAGTATTGTATTGGGATTGTTGGTGTTGTTACTGTGTCTGTGGTGACGTATATGTTTGTTAAGTAAAAAAAGTTGTGTAGGTTGAAGCATTTCAGTCCTGGGTTTGTGTTTTTGGTGTGTTATTTATGTTGTTTAGTGTGTTGCTGGTATTAGTTTGTGATGTTGGTGTGTAGATTTGGTGGTGGTGTTGCATGTGCTGCTGATGGTCATCGTTTTTTGATGAAGTTTTTTGTTGATGATCTGTAATAAGTTATTCAATAGCAGAAAGTGATGTAAACAAACCCATGACTAAAATGTGTTTTAATATGTTATTATTAAAAAATTTTGTCTTACACTTGTATCTGTATGTGTGCATGAAAGAAAGAAACATTTGGGGATTATATATGTTTCAAGAACTTGTTCCCAAGCCAATCATGTGGATGTCCATCGACTGGGACGGGACCACAAGCCAAAGCAAAATGAATATACCTTTTTAATGCACATAGACAGGGACCACAAATGGTGCAGTTTGGGAAAAGGGACAAAAGTAAACAAATCTTTGCACACGATGCATTGTGTCTGCTTGTCTGCAAACCTTTTTTGGAAAAAAAAATGTAGGGCAGTTTTCTAAAGATGGACTTTTTTCATGTTGAATGGATTAAGTCACAAACATCCTGTTTTTGACAATGACTTAATTACCCCCACACCCAAAATGGTCAATTTACAATGACTTAATTACCCCCACATCCAAATTGGTTAATTTACAGTGACTTAATTACCCCCACATCCAAAATGGTCAATTTACAATGACTTAATTACCCACACACCCAAATCCTGTTTTTGACAATGACTTAATTACCCCCACATCCAAATTGGTTAATTTAATTTATAATGACTAAAATGCCCATAAAACCCCTGCATATTCGTGGCACGGGACAACAATAAAATTCCATATAACAACTTACCACACAACAAAGCAACATAGTTGACCATAAAAGAACAACACATAGATCATTTGTTTATTACAACACATATTCACTACAAATAACAAAAAATTATCTAATCCAACTCCATGGCCGTTGCAAGACTGCTACCTTCACCTCCCACATTTTTGGCAAGCTTCATTTTAATGATTCTTTCTGACTTCTTTCGTTTGGTAGGCGGTTTAACATGCTTGACTTGATGAACACGAGCATTGATCTTCACCCCTTCCTCCCGTCCATTGACTCCCACCATCTGCTCTTCCTTACCAGTCCTCTCCAAAGCATCACTAGCATCTACCATTACCTCATCATCCCCAACCCCTGTGGCAACGTTTACAGACTCCTGCGCAGGTATAGTTTTTTGTTTCTTTGTTCCATTTTGTTTGGATGTCCCTATACCTTTACTACAAGTTGCCTTGTTGTGTCCTTTCTCCTTACATATACTACAAGAAACTTTCTTCCCTGCCTTGGAGACAGAGTGTTTTCCCATCCGTTCAGAAGCATCTCTTCTTCTCTTTATTGTTGGCCTGCCTGGCATACGTCTTTTCAATGGAGGCAAAGGGGGTATCAAGTCAGTAGAAGGCCACAAATTTTTCCCATTCATACCATGGATTGGCTGTTTGTAAGTATTATGTTATAATGCAGCCAAGTACATTGGATCTACATATGGACCATCAGGTGTGATATTTAAGTAGGCTAAGGTGGCAACTGAGTGTACGCAGCCATATCCATTAAGTTGCCATAGCCTGCAGCTGCATTCCTTTTTTTCAACATCAACAGTAAACGCCTCGTCTATTTTCCTTGCCTCAAACTTCATCCCCCCACAAGATATGACCTGCCAATGCCTACATATATAGATGAAAACCGAAAATATCATGAGATGTGAAGAGTCAGGTAGTAATGTAATTGGATAAATGTACAAATCTTTGCTCAGTATGGAGCATATTCAACCGTATTCTGATATTTGGACAAACAGAATAACGATTCCATCCTTGTCCGGTTAGTTTCATAGTCACCATCATTTGCATCACATATATACGAATGTCCTCTAACATGCTTATTATTGGTTTCTTCCGGGCATCCACAATCACACTATTAAAACTCTCTGAAAAACCATTCTCTACTGACTCACAAGAATTATGAAATCTGAAAAAAGCCAAAGACCAAGTCTTTGAATCTCTATCCATAAGATGCACAACTGCTTTCGGATTGAATTTTCCAATCTCTTTCATAACTACATTAAATTATGCTTCAGTTGTTGCCTTGCTCGCTTTCCAAAACAGATTTTCAAACTTGGATCCACTAAATCTCTTTCTAAAATTCGCATAGATATGTCTAGTACACTGCCTATGTTCGGCTGCTGGAAATACTTCCTTTACTGCCTCAATCAAACCCTACATAAGTCACATTAATGTTTGAAATTCGAATAACAATTAGTAATTTTAGAACATGCACTAGTTTTGAACCATACCTTGTGTTGATCCGAAATTAGAACCATGCCATGTCCATCATTCCAACATTGCAAATCTTCTGAAAGAGTTTCTATGAACCATTTCCAATTCTCTTTGTTTTCCACACTAACAGCTGCCCAAGCAATCAGGAATATTCCATTGTTAGCATCTCTACCCACAGCACAAAGCAACTCCCCTTGACAAAAACTTTTCAGAAAACAACCATCCAGGTTAATGATCCTCCTACATCCTACCCTCCATCCCTCTTTTACTGATGCAAAACATATGTATATTTTGCTGAAATAATTCTTACCATCGGGCATTGAATCAACACAAATTTTAACTGTGGATCCAGGATTTGATCTTCTAATCTCCTCACCATATGACCATATTCTTGCATAATTTTTAGCTATTGTGCCTTCAGCTAGACTCAATGCATAACTCTTGGCTCGCCTACACTGACTCATACTCACATTAATCCCAAAAGCGGTTTTTACCTCCTCTCTAAGTAATCGGACGCTCATCTTTTGATTGTTATAAAATTGGTGCTTAAAGTGGGTCCCTAATTTGAAATTTTTTGCACAATTATGCTCACCGATAAGAGACTTTATCTGGAAAGACTTATCATCACTCATCCAAGAACCCCAAAGCCTAAAAGTACATTTTCCATCACAGCATTTGACAAGTAATCGTCTAGTATCATTCTTCACAAAACATAATTGATAACCATTCGCGACAGCATAGTTACAAAGCATGTGTTTCAATTGCTTAGGAATCTCAAACCTCATACCTAAAACAGGTTCCTGCTCCTTCCAATTGAGCTTATCATTGAAAATGTTTGGCAATTCGGGATAAACATCTTTATTGTCACCCATGTCTTCTTCTACTGCCCCACTTACACCTACTTTCTCACCCATATCTACCTGAATCTCATTACCCTTTATAAAAAAAATGAGGCTTCTGATGGTCATCCTCATCGTCATCGACATCCTCATTTTCGTCGTCATCATCGCCGCCATTCGCTTCGTCATCGTTTGTGTCACCCACATCCTGATGCCCTGTTGCAACTTCATTAACCAGTCCTGCACCATCAAGTACTTCTTCCTGTACGTTACCAAAAAACTCGTCTTTGTGTTCATCTAACCATTCCTGTATGTTACTATTCCCAAATTGGTCTACATACATAGCGAGTATAACACCACATTCATATGCAATTGCTATGAAGTCGTAATAATCGGGGTCATTGCACATTAGAGTCAAACCTTTTGGAAAATCAATATCAGGTTGGCAGTAATAGAGCTTCTCACACTTTTCCCCAGTGAACCTTTCGATGAACGCAACACACCCATCCTTGTCCATTCCTGTGAAATCGATGTCCGAAAACCTCTGAGTAATTCCACCGGTGTAGCATATGGGGTTTCTGGCGAACATTCCTTGGAAGTGGACATCTACTTGTAAGAATACAGGTTCCATGCTTGAGGATGCAGAAGCAGCTCACAAAAAAGGGTTTATCGATGAAGTGTTGAACAGTGGAGGTAAAAGGGTTCTTTTATAAAGCATATACCGACAGTAAGAAGGAAGCGACTAATTAATGACATGGCATTAGACGAAAGTCACAGTCAGCATCTGATGTGGTGTTAGTTGAAGGAGGTGGACTTAAAATGACCGGCTAACCCCTTCACAATTAAAATAAGGACTTAATCGACCCGACAAATTGTAATTCGTTACCTTATTAAGCCACAAAATAAGTTAAGTGGCTAAATAGGTAAACCCTAAAAACATTATAGGGCCTATACGTCATTTTCCCTATTTTTATTTGGGAAAATCATTTGGGAATGTAATTAACTTTTCAGTAAGTTCACATCTGGATAACTATCTTTTTTTTTTTGTACACATCTAGGTAACAAACTTGTTGGAAGTGTTCATATATGACCATTATGACCGGCTGTAGCAGGTTACATCATAGATGTCAACACTTTCAATAACTTCGTTACATAGATGTGTTTAAAAAAAATAGTTATATAAATAAAACGAAAAGTAAGAGTAAATTATACGAATGGTCCCTACTGTTTATGGTCCCTGTGGTTTGGGGGAATTTGTGTTTTTGGTCCCTAACTTATTTTTTTAACTCGGATGGTCCCTACTGTTTATTTTTATTGCGCGTTTGGTCTCTGTTTTACCTAAAAACACTATTGTGCCCTTATTATTATTTTTTAATTAATTTTCTTATTTGTGTATTTATTTTTTTTATATATTTAAAAAAATTAATAGACCTCGCATATTTGTATCTCCTCATCCACTAAAGATAAAGAAAAAAAATGTATATTATAGGGATGATCCGATCCGCAAGGACCATGATTGGGAATTGTTTGATCGTCTTTCTCTGAGGCAGATGCAAAATAGAATCAACTTGAATTCGGGACATTATTCGAAATCTTAGGGAAACATTGGATTTGTTATATCATGTCTGCTTTTCGTGAAAAAATACCAATTGAAGTGGAGGGTTTTTTCAAAAAACAAGAGGCTGGGTCAACTATTACATTAAATGATATTGAGCACAAAGATGGGGAGATACAAATATGTGAGGTCTATTAATTTTTTTAAATATATAAAAAATAAATACATAAATAAGAAAATTAATTAAAAAATAAATTAATAAGGGCACAATAGTCTTTTTAGGTAAGACAGAGACCAAACGCCCAACAAAATTAAACAGTAGGGACCATCCGAGTTAAAAAAATAAGTTAGTGACCATTCGTGTAATTTACTCTTACTTTTCTTTTTGTTCATATTTGGGTAACTATTTTTTTTGTACACATCTAGGTAACGAACTTGTTGAAAGTGTTCACATCTAAGATGTAACCTGCTACAGTCAGTCATAATGGTCATATGTGAACACTTCCAACAAATTTGTTACCTAGATGTGTACAAAAAAAGATAGTTACCCAGATGTGAACTTACAGAAAAGTTAATTACCTTCCCAAGTCATTTTCCCTTTTTATTTCACTCCCATGTACTATTGCACTTTGTCGCATTAGTGATTTGTACACAACATTGTTTTGGCATTTATATTTTAGATGACTGTACTGTACAACCGTATAAAACATAATTTATTGTGTATGACTAATAAATGTTATGTATAGATCATCACCCAAATATTAATTTGCCATTTTAAAGATTAAAAGCGTAAATTTTAATTTTTAGTATACCCATGGCATAAATGGCTATATAATTCATGTTTATCCTAAGTGAATGCACATGTTCATATCAAAATCACTTTTCAAAACAAGTGAATCCCAATATTCAAAAGTTCATTAAAAAATCATTTAAAAAATGCACAGACATAGTTCTAATAGTGTTTGAATGACTAATGGTTACCTATACATCAAAGTATAACTAAGTACATAACCACTAATTAAGCACTTAATGACAATTAGCATTTGAAAACCAATGGAGGTGGTCTGAGGTCAAACGGATCAATAAAATCAAAGTTATAACATTTTCACAATCCTCTCAGCTTTATACTTGATCGAGTGGATTTTTCCTTGAAATTCCACTCAGTTGAGTGATTCCCAAACAAAAGAAATTTGAGGTTAAACATTTTTAAGCCTCCAAAATATGTCTAAATCCATCCCAACTTCATTACTTCAGCTCCTAATGAATTATTATAATTATCTAACATTCAATTACATGTTTTAAACACTCGTTAACATCCTAACTTAATCATTAACTCAATGATTAGCAAGCTAAAATGAAGATTCAAATAATTTAATTCCGACATTCACCTTGAGAGTTCATAGACTTTAACTCAAATTCCAACACTTGACTGTAGATCTCAAACATTATGATTCTGAATGATAATTCCAAACTAAATTCATAAAAATAATTTATAATCTAATGAAATAAACCAATTCATGTACATATTAGATTCAAAATGGCCATAAGAACACATGAACTCCATAAATAGTTTGAAATCATTCCATTAACCTAAATATAAGTTATTAGCCTCATGCTTTGAACTCATAACCTTAGATTAAGAGTTCAACACACACACATCCAAGTTATAACACTTACTAAATTTATCCTTTAAACTCTAGATTACTAATTCATTAATCTAAGGTTTATGAGTTTCAAAATCACATCACAAATTTAATTCAAGCAACATTAAATGATATTATTTATAGACTAATGAATTAACAAGGAGATTCTAATTAGAAATCGATTCTAACACCTAATCATCATCACAAGATAAATCACACTTGAGGTACTAAGCTCTTGAAAGACCAAAACTACAAGCTACAATAAAGAGGTATTATTCTAACTTGATTTTATGATTCACGTACCAAAATTGTATGCTAGTTGTAGGCTTCAAGCTTTGGAACTTTATTGCATGTATAACTAGAGAAAACTTAGATTCAAAGTTATTAGGGTTGTATGTGCACCATATGAGTGTTATAGTAAACCATAGGTCACTAAAACGATGAAGATGAATGAAAATGCTACCTTAGTAAGCCTCTTTCGATAATTCAAGCACCAAATCTTCTAGAGAACTTCAATTAAGCATTCATTCCTTTTTAATTCATCAAAATCTCTCTCTCTCTCTTATATATGAATTGTGAAAATAGGAGAGAGTGAGAGTGAGAGTTTATATTCAATATTTTTCAATTTGACATATTTGGACCCTCAACTTGTGGTTTCACTTATTTGGCTTCAAAAATGATGCTAACTCTTTGACTAGCTTTTATATTTACCAAATCAGCCCTAACCAACTTATTTTTTAACAAAGTTATTCTGTATCGGAGTGAAGTGAGTTACATGAGAGATATTTCTTAATTTACCCAAGTCAACTCTTAATTTACAAAACTTTGACTAAAATTCTGGATTTTATTTATTTAAAGCCATGAATTTCATATTAATCCTTATTATTATGATTTACTATATTATAATTTTATTTATTTAATTATTATTATTTGATTTATTTATTTTAATATTAATTATATAGAAATTCGCTTAAGGGTTAAAACTCTAGCCCCAACTTTACAAGTGTTACATTTGGCAATCTATTGTTAGGATTTAACCCCTCGTGTGTATGTTCTTTCTATTTCTCAAATACCACCATGGCTTTCATATCATTTTTTGTTCCCATCAAACTTTGCTACTATAAAAAAGATCTTGTAACTTCCCATCCAATAAGAAGAGTTCTTTATTGTTAATATTTATAGGCCCTCCATCTTACTGAATCAGAAAAATCCAAACATTTTGCCAAATAATTTGATGGGCACATAGCAATAAAGACATCCACCAAAGTTCTGTGTTTCGCACATTCGTTCCATTATTCCCAAATGTTGATGCACTACAAGGATACCGAGCTATGCAGACGACACTTATCCCGACGACGATTGTCGTCGCTAAAAGTATCCCTATCCCGACGACTTGTCGTCGTCGTACCTTTTGCAAACTTTGACCAATTTACTTTCACCTGGACGTCTGTTCCGACGGCAAGTCGTTGGTACAAGTCTGGCGGGAACGACAAAAATATTCGCAGTATTCTGAAATTCTATGCCGACGACATGTCGTCGGTATAGGTATAAAAAATATATTTTTCATTTATTTTTATTTCATGTGCCAAAAATACAAAACAACGTAGTTTTGTGTATGCTATACTGACGACTTGTTGTCGGCAGGACACATGACGATCCGCGTGATAGGACTATCCCGATGACATGTCGTCTGCACAGGTTTTTAATTTTTAATTTTTTTTTTGTATCAGCAAAAAACGAAACGGCATCGTTTATAAGACCCTATACCGACAACATGTCGCCAGCATAGGGGTTTACCCTAAAAAATACGCAGTCTTCGTTCATTTGCACAGCGACGCAGCCTCCTTTCACCTCTCCAATGAAAATCAGATTCCAACTTCCATAACCGGCAATTAGCCCCAGGTAATAAGGTGTTTTCTACTCCTATTTCGTTTGTTATTGCTGTGTGCTAATGATTTTTACCCCGAATTTTGGGTTTTTTTGGTGTTTAGAATTGTTCACCGGTGGTGAAGCACCACCGTCCGTCTTCCACCACCTCAAGCTTCCCCACCGCGAGTTGTTCACCGGCACCCATCGTTCCAACTTATCTCATTCACCACCCTTCGTATTTTATTGCAGGTAACAAAACACAGCATGTATCACGAT